AGTTGGGTGTGGCAAGCGTGACAACATCCGGTCAAGTAGCACCCACGCCACGGGGCTGCTCCTCTGCACTTAACTTTATTGGTCTCCATTGGAAACTGCTCAGAAGATCACAGCTTGCTTACCTCATCTTCCACAACCTCTCACACAAGGTCCCCCCAACTCAGGGGGTGCAAAGTGATTGCTTATTAAATGGCATATGGCCCAGCAAGAGGTGACCCTCTAGACACTCACAGGCTGTTCTTCCGGGACACACAGATAGCAGTCTGTCACAACCGCAAGTTGTAAAGCCAACGGAAGCCACACTTGTTAAAACTCCCAGAAACAACAGCAGCAGCAGCAGCACAAATGGTCAATAAACATATGAAAAGATAACTTAGCCTCACTTGTTATTTGGGAAATGACAATTAGAATCATAACAAGACACCGCTTTCCTACCCAGTCTATTAGCAGGGTACAGCAGCTAAGCTAGCTGTGGTGTAAGCTGGAATCAATGTGGCCCTTTTCTAGCAATTTGACAGATTTTGTAAAATGCAAAATGCACACTCCTTCCACTCGGATTTCTCTTTCTACGGGTTTGTCTTGCGGAAACGCAGAAGCACAAAGAAGCAGGCTAAGCCTGGCATGCATGCAGACCTTGCTTCAGTCCCCAGCACCGCATAAACTGGTCTGGAGACGTACAGCTATAATCCAGGCACCTAGGAAGTGAAGGCAGACAGTGCTGAAGCTTGCTAAAGTCATCTTCAACTACACACCAGGGTTGAGGCCAGCCTGGGCTACCCGAGACCGCCCTCACACATACCAAGGATGTTTTACGGCCACAGTATGACATAAATGGCCAGCAGTAAGAGCCTGGTTAAATAAAATCATGGCACTCCATACAGTGGAAATATAATAGTAATTATGTGGCTAAACCGGCCACCTGATTGGAAGTGAAAAAAACCAAACTGTCAAATGAAACTACAGAATGCTTCCACTCATAACAACACAAAATTGTGAGTCAGTGTTACATGCTTAGACATACAAACAGGAAAAATTGGCATGTATGCACCAGACCTCTCAAAGTATTTTGTTATCTGTGCGTGCGTGCGTGCGTGCGTGCGTGTGTGCATGTGTGTGTGCGTGTGTGTGATTTCTGAGACAGTACCTTACACTGTAGCCCAAGCTAGCCTGGAGCTCACTAGGCAACGCATTCTGGCTTTGAACCTGTAGTCATCCTCCTGCCTCTGCCTTCTGAGTACTGCTCTGATCTCAGGCTGCACTCTTATGTCCAGCTCTAGAGCATATTCAAAGAATTAAAATTGTATGGAGGGAGACTGTTTGAAAATAAGAATGTGCTTGGGTGATACTTACATAATTTATATAATAATAATTTGTATCGAATCATCTGAACATGGAGGCTCATACCTAGAATCCTAACCCCGGGGAAGTAGGCAGAAGACTGCAAACGTTCAAGACCAGCCTGGACTGTTTTACAGAGTTCTGTCTCAGAAACTAATAAAAACAGGAGCCAGCAAGATGGCTCAGCTGGGTGGAGCATCCGCCTGCTAAGCCTGATGAGCTGAACCTGGGGCTTGTGGGAGGGTGGGTGATCAGATCCACAAGGGTGCTCAAGCTCTACATGCACTCCGTAGCACACACATGTACATATAAACAAACTCATTTGCCTGGGGAGGTGGCGCACGCCTTTAATCTGAGCACCTGGGAGGCAGAAGCAGGAGGATCTCTGTGAGTTCAAGGCTAACCTTGTCTAGAGAGACTATGTCTCAAAATAAACAGCAAACAAGTTCCTGTCCATGCCAGCTCTAAGAAGAGCCTTAAAGGCTGTATGTTCTTTATTAATCCATATACTTCTGTGTTTAGGAGTCTTTCCTCACGCAGCCCACTTCAGGCAAGTCTGTCCAAGCGGAGGGCTTGGTGTTGAAGTCTAAAACCCCAGCATTTGCACAATGCCCCCTGAGGCCTAGGGACAAAGCCCCCCCTCCCCTTCAGGAATGTAATGGTTTTATTCCTAGCTGGACAGCCTAGGGTGGGGGCAGGGTGCACCTAAGGGCTGGGGAGGGAGGGGAGACTGGGATTCTTTGGCCAGACCACAGATTGTTACTATCACAATGCAATATTATCTGATAAGCATAAGGATACAGGAGCCAGGGCCCAACCTTCAAGCTGGGAGCCAGAGAAGATAGCAGATACCCTAGAGCCTGGAAAATGGGAGGCCTGCTGGAAGTGATTTAGGATCGCCAGGGTGAGTCCTAACATCCACCACCGAGTCCAATCACTGGGCTGATTTTGGAGGTCACAGGGTTGAAACATTGGGGAACAGCCAGAATCTGTCTATGTGTTGGGTTGGGGGCACCAGGGAGCCGCCATGGGTTCTGTAGCAGAACTCAGTCATTTACTACATACAGCAGGGCTGGCACACAGAAGACAGCAGCCTTCCCCTTTCCAGCAGGAAGTCCCATTCAGAGATGAAGGAAATGGCCAGTTTTCCTTATCACCTATTTGAAGTTTATTTCATTTGTACAATTTTAAGTTATTTATTTTTTTAAAAGACAGGTTTCACTTGCTATGTAGACCAGGGCTGGCCTTTGAATTCAGAGACCCATCAGCCTTGACCTCCGGAATGCTGGGATTAAAGGCACAGGCCACCTTCAGGAGTTAATGTTGGGCAGGTGAAACGTATGGATCTTACCCAGGAGCTGAGAGGAGATTGATGAAGGCGGAGAAGGGAGCTTCTTACTTGTGTATGGCACTGGGACCCAAGCCAAGGCAAGTGCTCTCCCACTGGGCTACACCCCTAGCCCCAGGAAAGGGACTTTTAGGGTGGGGAGCCTCCTAGGTGGGGCAGACGCAGGGCGGGGAGCCAATGGAAGCTTCCAGCAGGCCACACAAGCCCTTCAGGCTTGAGCCACACACTTCCATTCCTGAAAAATCCTGGGAACTTCACAGATGAAGTCATCTCTTTCGAAATGCTTCCCTCTCTCCTCCCAAAATTCCAGTTCGTCTTCTAAAAGCCCAACTCGGCCTCTTGCTGATGAATTTAGTCTGAGGCCTGCTCAGAGCCGTGTACTTTCTGTAGGTCACTGAGCCCACGGGGCTTCTGGCAGAGGGCTCAAAAACGTGCCTGAAGGAAGTTTCAAAGCAGGGGTGACTATTGCATCCCATCCAAGTAGCCAATGCCGGCTGGTGGCATTGCCTGGGATGCAGGTGCCCTTGTGGCGGTGGAGGCATGGAGGGTGGAGGGTGGGGGTGGGGAGGTGTGGTTAGGAGTGGGAGTTAGATCTACAAAAGCCTTTCTAGTCAATCTGCTATATTCGGGAAATGAAGGTGGGTTCGGAGGCACAAATGTGATCCCAGTACTCTGGAGGTGGATGCGGGAAGATCAGGAGTTCAATGTCAGCTTTAGCTACATAGCAAAGAACAAAAACCAACAAGTAACCCCTCCCCCAACCAACACCCCAAACCAAGAAATGCAGGTAAGCAGGTCAAGAAGAGGGGACCCGAGGAGACCTGAGTCAAGGGGGACAAAATATGCTGCTGAGAAATGCAGGAAGTATAAAATTCAGGGGCACCAGGAAGGCCCAGGGAAACAATGTCAGAAGCAAAGGTCAAAGGCTAAGGAGCTAAGGTGAGCCTTAGAAGCAGGTGTGTGTGTTTTGGGGTGGTGGTGCTGCTGGAGAGCCAGCTTAGCAGTCATGAGCACTGGTTCTTGAAGGCCCAGGTTCGGTTCCCAGCACCCACATGGTGGCTTGTAACTCTTATAACCATCCATAACTCTAGTTCCAGGGGATCCCACACCCTCCTCTGACCTCTGTGGGCACCAGGCACACATATGATGCACAGACATGTATGTAGGCAAAACAGTCATACACATTAACTAAATCTAAAAGAAAAGAAAAGAAATCCAGCCCAATCGTATCATTTTCTGCTTCGTAGTCTGGAAAGCAACTGTGTTTTCCCAGCAGTTAATCCTACCCTGTCCCCTGTCCGGGTATGGCATTTGGAGCTAAACTCTTTAAGAAACCCAAACTCTAATTGCATTCTGGCCCCATTCCCCACCTGTCCTGGGGGTCTGTGACCAGTCAAGGATGGAGGGATGTGTAGTTACAACTTAAAAAGACCCGTGGACCTAGCCGCTCTAGAAGTCACAGAGTTCATTTCATTGCTAGGAGGAAGCAGATTTTGTTCTGACTTCATAGGCACCTCCAAACTGAATCAATGTTTTCCACTTTTCTGTTAACACTTAGCGTCCAATGGCCCAGACACACTTTCTCTCCAGGTCTCCGGTGGCTCCCCAAACCTTGCCATTTCTGCACAGGAAACTCTGAGACCCTGCCTCTCTGCCCTCTACTGCGCAGGCTCCGCAGACCTTGTTTTGTTTGTACCTTGGTGCCTGTAGCCCGACGTCCAGCTTCCAGCTCCTTGGCATTGAACTCTTGATCCCAACCACTAGTCCTCCCAACCCCAGAGGGGGTTGACCCCAGAATACTGAGGAGGGATTCGAGCAAATACAGTCATCACCTTGTGTCCAGGCCACACCTGACAGTGTCCTTGCCACTGCAAGTTCTCCGGCCTTCCCGTCAACACGCCCTCGATCCTATCACCAAAATGCGGCCAAAGCTGCCCTGTCTCCGCCGCTGCCCCCTGCACCCGAGCCAATTCTCTCCATGGACGCTGTCCACATCTGGACACTCTGAGAATGGAGATGCCACCTGGGTGTCACCGAGCCTTTAACCCCCTTCAGTTCTGTCCTTCTCGCCCATCAGAGCATCGACTCCACATGGGCAGGAGCGCCGCCATAGGCACACACTACCTCATCCACAGCTAGCACCCCCCAAAACACGAGAGGACAAGTGAACCCCCCTCCCCCCGCCACTGCCTGGTAGCAGGTTTCTAGGAATTCTCCGAGTCGACAGCCTCAGCGACAGCCTGACAGGAGCCGCTAGAACCGAATTCTGGTTTGCCGCTCTCGAATTCGGCACCGGGGACAGAAGGCATCTCACCTCCCTTTTCCAACGTGCCAGCCACTCGTCCCGTTTCCGTTTGCTGATGTAGTAGGGGTCCCCTGCCTGGAAGGTGAGTCTTGGCATGGGCCGCTGACGGAGGCTGGACTCCCAGCCCAGACCACCCCGCAGCCGTCCCCGGGATCCCTAGGACAGAAGACAGACAGACAGACGTTAAGGTAGGCATAGGTACCCCTGCCGGGTTTGCCCCTCCTAGAGGGGAAACGGAGAGGGGTCACTCATCCCAAACAGAATACAGAAATTCTGGCTCCTGGCCAGAGGGGGTTGACCCCAGAATACTGAGGAGGGATTCAAAGTTGGTAGCCACACGTGAACCCAGCAGTGAGGGGAAGTGCTTGATCTCTGGAGGGGGATGAGCTGGCTGCCTGGCTAGGGGACTTCCAACCTCCACCCCCACTTCCTCTCCTTCTCACAAAGGGACACCAAAGAAGAGGCAGGGACCCACCCTCGGGCCCCCCTCACACACACTCGCCACAGTCCGTCAGAGAGGTGGCTTTCTTCTAGAATCAGGATCCAGAGCCCCTGGGGGTGAGGAAAACACTTGCCTCCATTTTCATGGATTCGATGTTGGTCTGCTTCTGTTCTTTGCCTGTGGAAAGGGAAGCACAAGGAGGCTGTGGCTCAGAGGAGCCTGGGGGGAGGGAGGGAATCCTAGCGTGTGTCGTCCATGCTGGCCTACCAGGTGCCAGGCTGGTGCCAAGGACCCAGCACGATGTCTGGAGCAGAGAGGTCCTGGCCCAGGTTCCAGGCCCAAGAACATAGGAATAAGAAAAAAGTCAGGGGCCTGGTTTCTGGCCCACGGACCCTGGTCCCAAGTACATAAAAAGGGACTTCGAAGTAGCCACCCTCCGCTGGTGGCCTCCGGCCCTCCTTCAAAGCAAGGCGCAGGAGGGTGGAGGGGCAGAGGGGGGCTGGACTGAAGAAGCCAGGCTGTTCACTTCTTTGCGTGAGGTAGGAAAAGGTGCCCAGCCGTGGGCAATGGGCCAGCTGGCCCAGACCCAAGTGAAGCATCTCCGTCTTTCGAGAGTCTCTCTTCACTATAAACAGCTCTAAATAGTATGGCTCCATTATTAACATGTCAACTGTCCTCCATTCCTGGCCCACTCTCAGGTCATCAAGGTCAGTCTGGATTCTAACTGCCCCGGGATGACCTCCCTAACCTCCGCTGTGTCCTCACCAACCAAGTGATACATGATCTAAAGACTGGTGTGAGCAACTAGGGCATGGAGCAGGGCTTGGCATACAGTAGGCGCTCAATATGCGTCGGCATGCCTCCGCCCCAAGGGATTTCTCCTTCCCTGTTTTTCTGGCTTTTCTCAAAGTTCCTGGACTGGGCACTGATTCCAGTTCCAGGGAGGGACATCTGGGCTGGGAGCAGCAGTGCCCACAGCGCCATCTTTAGGGAGGACTCTGGACTTCTCTAGGCCCGACATGCGGGCAGCTACAACCTTCCTTTCCGCTCTGGCCTGCCTGCCCAGCTCCTCTCCCAGCCAGCCCGGCTGCAGCCAGCTGGATGGCTTCTCCTAGCAAGTTTCGGCCACCTTTCACCTGGGTGCCTGAATGCCTTTTTCTGAGGCTGAGAAAATACAGGGCTTGGGCCCCCGGAGCAGGAAGGTCACTAAGGCTGGTTCACTCACGTCGCTTGGTGGGTAAGGGGAGGAGGGGGGGTACGGGAGACAAAGAGCCCCAAACGGAAAAAAACAGCCCCTGCTGCATCGCCTAGCTCAGGAGCGGAAACCACCCGCAGCATTTACGGCTCTGAATTTTTAGCCTGGACGGTTTCCCTCTTGTTACCAGACACGACCTGGGGTTCCTCTCTGCACCTGCCCAGAGCGCCCCACAGCCACGTGTGCCTTGCTCCCATCCACAGGGGTGGGGAGGAGGCAGGGAGAGCAGAGCCCCTGCCGGACACCCCGTGGGCTGTGGACCCTGTGGGTGGGAGGCGTGTCGCTGCTGGGCCCCGTGGAGGCGGTGCGTGGGAGGAGCGTGGTGGCTGTCACCCGTGTGTGGGTGGGGGCGTGCGCCCCTCCCAGCTCAGGGTCTGTGGTTGGCCTTTTAAGGCATGTCTCACCCGTCACACACCTCTCCATCTCTTCCTCCACGGCCTCTCTCCCACCGCAGTCAGCTCCCCACTTTCCACGGGGGTTCCCCCTCACGCCTGCCCCCGGGGCCTCCCACCTCTGCGACCGGCCCCTCCCTCAGACCTCGGTGCTCGGCCCAGGACCCAGGCTGCCAGGAGGGGGCGCCCGCCCTGGCTCGCATTCCATGCTCCTGCTGAAGCTGCAACAAACAGCTTGCAGCAGCCATGCAGCAAGCTGAGGGTGGCGAGTGAGGCCCCCAAGCTGGCCCACGGGATTTGGACTGTCTACTGGGACCTAGGAGTTTCCTGAATACCCCACCCACCCACCCAAAAAACCCAACCCAGTGGCTTTGGATTACGTTTACCAGGAGTGATGTATTAGAATGCAAGAAAAGCTGAGCTGAAAAGAAGATGTGGTTGAGTTTGCTCAATGTTTCACACGAGGAAACTGAGGCCGGGTGAGCAGAGCTGTAATCCGATTTCGGGGCTCCTGACTCCCAAGTGCGCTACCACCACTATTCCATGTTTTCTTTGCCAGGTCTCCAGCCCCCAAGGTCTCCCAAATGGAAACTTCCTGAAACAGTTTCCAACTGGCTTCTTTCTGGAATTTTTTCCCCGACAGACTGCGCATGCCCGTGTGAGCGATTGCTCGTTCTCTCAGGCGCACACACGCACGCACACACGCATGCACACATGCACTCTCTTCCTCTCTCCGGCCTGGTCAGCACATCAGACTGGATGTCACAGAATGCTGGGCGGTCACTGGCTCACTGCTCTCTAAGGGCTCCCTCTGCAGACCCGGGGTCCCAGGGCCAGGTGTGCCTTCCAAAGTGGCCCTGGAGGATAGGAACATGACCCCAAGACACCTCGGGTCCTGGGGACAGGAGAGGTCAGGGGCCTCAAGTATATCCAGCAAGGACCATCCCCAAGTTCTCTTCACAATGAGACAATATCCCGGTGACAGGACAGATGCTAGACTTAATATAAGCACTGCTACTGGACCATATTTGTCCCCATGCTCAGCCTGGGCAGAGCAGCCTTATGCTGACCCTCAGCCATTCCTCTGTTGTTACCAGGCTTCCTGTGTCCCGGTCTGGACGCCGGTGCTTTAAGTAGCTGAGGAGGACCTTGAACTTCTGATCCTTTGGCGTCCACCTACCAAGTTCTGAGACTACAAGTGTGTGCTTGTACACCTGGCTTCCTGAGACAATAAGGTCTTCCTCACATGGCACGAGACTGAAGTGAGCGGTTTCTCAGACAGCATGAGGACCTACAGAGCCTGCACCTTGGCTTCCCAGGGACTATTGACACAGCTAGCCCATGGACCACTGGGTAGTGAGGGTACAGCGCGTCGTGCGGTATCGGCAGGCGTGATGGATTTCCGGGAAGGATAGATGGAACTCTGTTGTGAGATATTTGATTACACTGTATGTCACTGTGACTGGTTTAATAGAAGACTAAATGGCCAACAGCTAGGCAGGAGGTATAGCAGGGACTTCTGGACAGAGAGAGCTCTGGGAAGAAGAAAGGCAGAGTCACCAGCCAGACTGAGAGGGAACAAGACATGCAGGAGGAGAGGGAAAAGCCACAAGCCACAGCACGTAGAGGAGTAGAAATAGGTTGATTTAAGTTATAAGAGCTAGTTAGAAACAAGCCTAAGCTACAGGCCGAGTTTTCATAATTAATAATAAGTCTCCGTGTCATTTTTTTGTGAGCTGGAGGTCCAAAGACAAATCCGTCTACAACTCTCTGACAAGAGTCTTGGAAGGTGGGGGACTGTGGCTGAGTCTCTTCCTTTCTCATTTGAAGTCCTTGGCACTGTCAGCCCACTGCTGGAGCAGGGATCAGCCTCCACACACCAACACACAGGCCAGAGCTGCCAGGAGGCCGCTGCACACCTCTCTTGGATATCTAGGGTCACTCAGGAGTGCCCCCAAGGTCAAATGGAAGCTGAGACTCGGGGTGTTTGTGCCTATCATGTTCGGACTTGTCTGAAAGTTCCCAACCCAGCTTATCAACTCCGCCATTTCTTTACCTCTTAGACGGCAGCATTTGCTCACCTCCCTCCATCCATTTTGCTTCTCAGGGCAGACTGCTCCCTCCCCACACCTGCAGCAGCCTCTTGACTTCTCACCCCACTTCCCAGCCCCTTTGAACCGTTGGCGAATCTACATGGAAAGTCATCTTTTCCAATCACAGTCTGTCAGGTCGGTCCTGAGAAGGCAGCTAGGAAAGCCTGGTTTGGCCACCTGCCACCCACTCCCTGCCCACATCCTTCCTCCTGGTGGCTTCTGTCAGGTCCCCGTGCCCCATTCTCTCACCTTGGAATCAGTCTGTTCTCACTGTCTCCTCCCCACAGCCCTCATGTGACAGGCTCCAGTACATCCCTCCATTAAGACAGAATAACCAGGGACAGCTTAGGTCCTGAGGTCCTAGCTCCTCACGGTCCTGTATTCCTTTACCCCAGGAGCACGGTCCTCTGTACACAACCCCACATCTGATTTTGTTATTAATTTGTTTTGCTTTTGAGAGAGGAGGCTGGCCTAAAAAATGATGGGCAGAGAATGACCTTGAACTCCTGACTTTCTGTCCTTTTCCCAAATCCTGAGATTTGGACACTGGACCAGTTAATGCAGTGCTGGGAGTTAAGCCCTGGGCTACATGTCTAGTTCAAATAACACATTTGAAAGGGCAGAGTCTCTACCAACTGTGAGGTCCTGGAGGACAAGAGCAAGGTTTCTGTTCAGGACGGTCTCCACAGGCCGGCACAGGACCTGGCACACACCAGACATGTTTAGTGAACACTCGTTGGCTGACTGTGTGCCTAAGAACCAGAATACGGACAGGGAAAGCCTTAAACAAACCCTCAAGGTCAAAGAGCAAGCAGCCTTGGAACTCTGGCTCCATCCTGCCTAGCAGGAGGGACTGCCCTGGCCCTGGCTCTGGGCACCTGCCTTGGTGTGATCCAGCACTCCGGAGGTGAGTCACAGGAGCACACTGTCTGGCTAGGAAGGGTACTGAGCTGGCTGAGCTCTCCTGCATATCTGCCATTGTGAACTGCAGGAAGGGGGGGCTCTCCTCCTCTCTCCTCTCAAGCTCTCCCAACACCCCTCTGAGAGCCGGGATAGCTCCAGAGCCACCCAGCACAGGGCACCAGAGCAGAGCAGAAGCTTAGGAGCAGAAGCTGACCAGTCCTGGGTTGGAGGGTTAGTTCAGCTGGTACAACGCTGGGCCAGCATGTGTGAAGTCCAGTGCCCTGGGCCCAATCCCCAGAACTACATAAAAACAGGCATGGGCAGCCAAGATTGCTCATCAGATAAAGGGGCCCGTGGCCAAATCTAACAATCTGAGTTTGAGCTCCAGCCCAGGGATTTACATGCTGGAAGGAGAGAACAGAATCAAGGTGTCCTCTGACCTCCATATGTATGCTATGGTATGCTCAAGTCACACACACACACACACACACACACACACACACACACACACACACACAAGTAATTAATTAAAATAGGCATGGGGTGCGTGGTTGTGTGATCCCAGAACTCAGGAGATGCAGGAAGCAGGATCAAGTTCAAGGTTGGGGCCAGACAATGATGGCCCACACCTTTAAGCCCAGCACTCAGGAAGCAGAGGGAGGCAATATCTGAGTTGGAGGCCAGTCTGGTCTACATAGTGAGTTCTAGGCCAGCCAGCGTTACATAGTGAGACCCTTTGAAAGAAAATAATAATAATAATAAGTACCAGAGGCCAGAGGCCAGGTTTGGAGGCATGAACAGGACCACTTTCTAAGCTGTACTTTCTTCCTGGACTTAGGACGGGCTTGTAACCCCTCTTGAACAAGACCATTTGGAAGAGTAAACAGAACAAAACGTAGAGCGTGCTTTGCACATGGTGGAGCATCACAAATATTTGCTGAATAATGAATGAAAGAAATTCCAAAATAAGTTTGGAAACCTCTTTTTCTGGAAATATTCCCTCTTCTGCATAAATATTAGGTTTGGAGTCATGCAAAATAAGTTATGCCAATTAATCAATTTGCTCATGCCATCATACACACTTGGAAGGGGAGACTTTCTGAAATTAAAATGTACATATGCAAAACAACCTGGCAGGGCCCCTGGGTATCAATGTGATAATGGAGGAGGAGGCGCTGTGTAAACTGTGAAGCCCGGGACAAATGCTAGCTGTCCTCATTACTCACTTGTTTACAGCTTGCCTGGCCCTGAAATCTCTGGCTTAACCTGAAAGAGAAAAGTGGGCAACTTTCCAAAATTCCAGGGCCCGGGCCACCGAGTCCCCCAGATGGAGAGGTCTGAGCAGGGCAGCGCGCAGGCGGCCTCCTTCGGCCCGCCCCTTCGGTGTGTCCGCTGTCACAACTGACATGGCGGCAGTTCACCACGGAGTCATCCAAACCACAGTGTGCCAGGCAGGCTTCTCTGCACTGGGACAGGGAAACATGGCCTGGGTGGTCCTCATGAGCCTAGGCAGGTCATGTGTAAGAGTAAGCCAGCAGGCCAGCTGGCAGTGGAAGGAAACTGAGGCATACAACCAGCATAGAAAGAAGGGGGGGCACTTATTACCCCAGCTTGGCATCCCTTGGCATTATGCAAACCCACTGTTGCCTGGTGCAAGAGTCAGCTTTTCTTCTTCCCCACGAAGAGCCAAAACTCCAGATTTTCATGTGGAATTTCTTGATTTTTTTTTTTTTTTAAAAGACTGGCAACTAATGTTTAACTGTTTCGCACCCTGGCTGGGCCAAGTGAACATGGACACAGGCTGTATTCATCCAGTAGCTTCTAGGCAAGCAGATGGTCAGCTTCCACCTTTGCCCATCTTCCTGAAACCCGCCACAGACCCGAGCCCGCGACGCTTAGGGGCTCAGCGGGCCCAGAAATGGTTTCCCTCGGGCTGGGACTCACCCTCTTCCGCAGAGGCTCCACGGCCTTCCTTGGTGGTACAGCAGCCGTTCTCCACAGCTCGGGAGGATTCCGGCGGGGTCTCAGTGCCCTCTCCTTCAGCTGGGGTCCCACCCTTCTGCCCTGCAGCTGGGCTCCCCTCCTCAGGCTGGGGTTCACTCCGCTTTTCCAAGTCTCCATTGGGTAACAGATCTGAGGAGCCAGCATCCTGGGCCATGGGCTGAGACTTGCTGGTCACTGCGGGGTCCTTGGGGGTGTCACTGCTTTCCACCTGGACAGGTGAAAACAGACAAATGTGAGGGTTAGGTTCTAATGACAGGCATTGAGTGCCGGGCGGTGACGCGTGTCTCCACGCCAGCAGATGGAGTCACAGGTTTGCGGGCACCATCAGAGGCTTCAGGGAACTGTGGAAATCAAGCAGGCAGGCCTGGTCCCACCACCCCAGGGATACCGCACTGCAGCCCAACTCACTAAGACTCCTCTGGCTTCCCACTTCTAAACCAACGATCCTGCAGCTAGGGACGTAGCCCAGCCGATAGAGCGCTTGTCTAGGATGCACGAAGTCCTGGGTTTGATACCCAGCACTGTGTAAACCAGACGAGCAGAGCGGTGCACGCCTGTAATCCCAGCACTCAGCTACATACTGGGTTGGAGAGCAGCCAGGGCTACATGAGACTCTCTCTGCCTTAAGACTAAAAGCTGGCAAGATGGCTCCGTAGATAAAGATGTTTGCCATAGTGGAGAGAACCCACTCTGCAAAGTTGTCTTCTGACCTCCACACACACTGTGTGTGTGTGTTTGTCTGTATGTGTGTGCGTGTGTATGTGCGTGCGTGTGCACACATGCCCTATACAAATGAACATAATAAGTAAAAATATAATAAGAGACTGGAGAGAAGGCTCAGCGGTTAAAAGCACTGACTGTTCTTCTAAAGGACCAGGGTTCAATTCCCAGCACCCATATGGCAGCTCACAACTGTCTGTAACTCCAGTTCCAGGGGATCTGACACCTCACACAAACATATATGCAGCCAAAACACCAATGCACATAAAATAAAAATTAAAAAAATATATATAACAAAAACCAAAAACCAAACAAAAATTTTCCTCATGCTCCATCATTGAAACTGGACCCTTCCTCGGAAAATTCCAATGAATGCCACCAGATCAACTTCAGAGGCCCCGAGGCTGGCCTGGCTTCAGCTCTCAGAGACTTCCTCCTATGCCCTCACGGTGGGGGGAGGGGCAGGGGTGTCAAAGAAGTCCCCACTAAGAAGCATTCTCTAGACCTGAGCTAGCCTCACAGCGCTCTGTCCCCAAATCAGGCCCCCATAGGGTCTGAGACCCAGGCTCTCCAAGGCCCTAAGCAGGCTCCAGCCTGAGCTGCAACTGCCCTGGGCATAGGTCTGCCTGGAAAGACAACAGACTGCTTCATCCCCTGGGGCCTGAGGTCAGAACCTGCTAAGGCTCCAACTGGCGGAAATCAAATCAGGATTCACTCACTCGGGCTGTCCTCACATGTCCCTGTACGAGGGTGAGGGGTGTGTGTGTGTGTGTGTGTGTGTGTGTGTGTGTGTGTGTGTGTGCGCGCGCGCGCGCGCGCGCGCGAGTGCTCTCTGTTCTTGCCCATCAGGAGGCAAGGGGTCAGGAGATCTTGACAGACTGGAGGTGCTTGGCTCAGGGTCCCTGCCTCAGGCAGACACTGCTACCTTCGCAGGCACTAAGGTGTGCTCAGCAACCCCGCAGTTAGAAAATGCTCAGGGCCAGGATGCGCAGAGCAGGGGCAGAATTGGCTCAGCAAGCCCCAGGTGAGACCTGAGCCAAGCATGGTGGCCATGCCAGGAAGCCCAGCATCTGGAAGGTAGAGACAAAAGGGTCAGGAGTTCGAGGTCACCCTTAACTACAGAGTGAGTTTGAGGCCAACCTCGGTACAGGAGACTCAGTCTCAAAAACCCAAAGCAATCAAACCAAAAGAAGGCTCCCCTCCCCTCCTGTCAGGTAAGGTGATTGCAGCTGATCAATGAATACTTCACCCGAGGCTTTGCTGTTCTTGGCTTCACGTGGTCCAGGCTGGCCTTGAATTCATTATAGAGGTAAGGCTGGCCCTGTACTCCTGACCCTGCTGTCTTTGCCTCCTGTGTGGTGTGCTTGACAGGCACGCATCACCTTGCCTGGATTTTCTTTTCTATTATAAAAGTAATGGATCAGGCATGGTGGCACAGAGACAGAGGCAAGCAGATTTGTTGGTTTGTTTGTTTGTTTTTTGAGACAGGGCTTCTCTGTGTAGTTTTGGTGCCTGTCCTGGATCTTGCTCTGTAGACCAGGCTGGCCTCGAACTCACAGAGATCCGCCTGCCTCTGCCTCCAAATGCTGGGATTAAAGGCGTGGGCCACCACCGCCTGGCTACAAGCAGAACTTTTGAGTGCTAGGCCAGCCAGGACAACATAATGAGAGTCTCTCAACAAAACAAAAATAAATTTATAAATTTAATTAGAAATAAAAATCAGACATACATCACACAGTTGTGTGTGTGTGTGTGAGAGAGAGAGAGAGACAGAGACAGAGACACAGAGAGAGACAGAGAGAGAGAGAGACAGACAGACAGACAGATAGGGTCACATTTATCCCAGGCTGGCCTCAAACTTGCTATGTAGGTAAGGATCACCTTGAACTCCGGATCTTCCTGCCCCCACCTGAGGAATGGAGGGTTTCTAGGCATGTGCCAACACACCCAGTTTACGTGGTGTTGGAAAGTGAACCCAGGGCCTTGTACTTCTAGACAAGTGCTCTACCCACTAATCCAAAATCCCAGCCCCATAAAAATTTGAATTGCACAGACCAAAATGTCAAAAGAGAAAAACTGAGCTGGCAAGATGGCTCAGCAGATAAAGGGGCTTGCTGCCAAGCCTAATGGCCTGAGTTTGATGCCCAGGACCCACAAGATAGAAGGGAAGAACCAACTCCTGCAAGTTGTCCTCTGACCTCCACACAAGTCAGTCAGTTTCTCTCTTCCTCTGTCCCTCTCCCTGTATCTTACGCACGCACGCACCAAATAATAAATGTAAACAAAAAATTTTAAAGAAAATAGTTTTTTTTAAGGTTAAAACTCCAGCCAGGCGGTGGTGGTGCACACCTTTAGTCCCAGCACTTGGGAGGCAGAGGCAGGTGGATCTCTGTGAGTTCGAGGCCAGCCTGGGCTACAAATCGAGTTCCAGGCCAGCCAGAGCTTCACAGTCTTGAAAAACAAAACAAAACAAAAAAAAAAAAAAAAAAAAAAAAAACAAGCAAAAAGTTAGAACTCCGATATTAAGACCCCAAGTTACTTCCTTCCTGAAAAACCATTATTAACAGCTTGACAGATGTCCTTTTCAGTCCTCATCCCCACCCTCCAGAAAACAGGGTCTCACCATGGAGCTCTGGATGACCTGGAACTCAGAGATCCATGTGCCTTCACCTCCTGAGTGCTAGGTGTCGTGTATGGGAGCCTGCTCGGCCTTCTTAGGTTTTCTGTTTCATTCACAGGCTGGAGAGATGGCTCAGTGGCTAACGGTTCTTGCAGAGGACCTAGGTTCCATTGCTAACAACCACACGGTGGCTTACAACCGTAACTCCAGCCCCAGGGGGTCTAGTCTCTCTTCTGGCATCCACAAGCACCAGGCATATACATGATGATCATACACACAGGCCAGCAAAGCACTCATATACATAAAATAATTTTAAGAATGAAATATAACAAAGTTTCATATAGCCTAGGCTGGCTTCAAACAAACTATGTATCTGAGGTTGGCCTTGAACTGATCTTCTTGCTTTGCATGCCAAGTGCTAGGATTACAGGCATGTGCCAAAGGGCTGGACTTCCTTTTTAGACTTTTCGCAGTCACATGTAAGTTACGCATTTATCCACATAGTCCCACACATAACGAGATCCAAGACCGTGTTTTATCATGCTACCCATAATATTCCACAGCTCACTTCTCCCCTGATAAGTACAGTGGCATCTCTCCACAGCCGTGCATATGGCTCTGCCTCCTGCTTGGCGGATGCTCTGCGACTCAACGCCAGCCGCCGTCGGTACTGGGGCTGATCCGTTTCCTGCTGTGGTGAGCTACAAAGAGTTACTTCCAGTTCTCTATAGCCAAGCCTATCTGCAGGGCAGTCCCAGGAGGATTGGCTGGGCTAAGTGTAGAGAGAAATGCCAAACTCCCTTCCAAAAGGCTACAGCACCGGAATATAGCCCAAGAGGCACCAACTGCTAGCCCCTTACCTCACAGCCTCCATTTGGGGTCTAGGATAGGAACTGTGAGTCCACTGCTATCTGGTGAGAAGTCTGAGGTGACAAACAGGGACCAAAGCCTTGGGAGAGAACAGCAAACCCAGTGTCCCCTGACTATGCCACCCCCTGAGGAGCCCAGCAGCTGGCCTCATGGCTTTTCCCCTGGTCTCCCAGGCTAGGCTGAGGGCACTTCATCTGGGAAAGAGAAAGCGGCGAGGAGCTTCATTACTGCATGCCTCAGCAGCTGGGGGTTCCGGAAGGCTGCTGCTCGGAAGAGGAAGTGCCTGGGGAAGGAGAAGGCCTCCACTGGCCTTGCCAGGCTGCTGCAGCTGCTGGGCAGCTATAGGAAGGGAAGGGGAGCGAGCAAACAGATGACCACCCACTTGCTTAAGCTCCCATGCCATGTGTCCAACCCACCCCAGGGCCGGAGACTGCACCTTGCACTTTCCTTGTGTCAGTCTGTCCCCCTGCAAGGCTGAGTCATGCATGAGAGAAGGCCATGCCTCGCTGCCCCCGTAGACACTTTCTAGGAACCAGTGGTGCCAGGTACCACAAGGCCAGCACGCGCTACAGGGAGGTGGGCACAGGGCACACTTGAAGAGAGCCAATCTCTCAGGGTTGCTCCCTCTTTTACCTCCTTGCTGCCCTACAGAGCTCTGTGAGATCATCCCACAGAGGCTTACTTCCTGCCTGGGGACCACGTGGCCTCCTCACCCCAGGACTCACTTCCTGTTGCTGCCAGCTCCACGGCCCAGGAAGCCAGGAGTGCTAGCTGCTCTGGGACCCAACCTAGCCCAAGGGTTCTCTGCCTGGCCACACAATCTTTCAATCACACCACATAGGTACTTCTCCACCAGCCCTGCCCTAAGGACCCCCCTTCGACAGTAGTATCGGATATACCCAGAAGTGGGAACCTACCACACAGCTCTAAGCCTAGGATCAGCTCAGTGGCTGAAGGGTCTACTCCTTCCTATTGGTCCACACCCCTCCACCCCCTTT